GCAGAAACACTTAACTTTAGCCAATGTCCACACAAGAGTTTTTTTTTACAGGATTAATTTTTCATGAACCATTAGATTTTTTTCTTTCTTAAAACAATGCTTTAACACTTTAATCTAGGCAGAAAAAAATTCACCTTCCCATGACTTCTTACAATCTTTCACCAAAAACATATTTTACTTTCTTTAGATACCATGCATGTAAAATTGTTTCTTTGTAGTTTTAATTACGTGTTATAATGTTAACTTTTAGCAACTTCTATTTTTGATGAAAACCTTGGTAAATCTGATATTTTAATTATGTACTAGGTGTGGAGCCTGGCCTAAGACACACCAGGCAGAGGTGCATATAAGAGCTGACTCTCCAGCACAGCTAGGGGGTATGGCTAACACTACATGTCCCCAGGCCTTACCTTACTTAAGCAGGCAAATTGTACAGTAAGTGTCATAGGGGCATTGTATGAAGCATTTAGGAGACCTAACAACCTTTGAATTGTACATTTCTTGTATAAATTCCCTTTCACAAATCCTTTCATGAGATACACAGGCCATGAGAGATATTCTTGGACTTTCTGACTTGCCCTAAACTCCTTCCTTTTAAACAACCAGTCATTTTACTTTAAGACAATAATTTACCATACAAGATCCTTTCTGATATAAAATCTCTTTCTTTATCATCTTATTTGTATAGCTAGGGTGCATGGCAAATTACACATGTCCCCAGGCCTTATCTAGAATCTAATGGCTTTAAGGTAGGTAAATTGAACAATTTTCAAAGCCTAAGAAGCAGTTTATAACCTTAAAGCATTTAGTAAACTTAATATCTGACCTGTGTAATTTAGACCAATGTCTTTATTTTAAACTATCTTTAGTTTCCAAAGATTACTTAAGTCACATGAACTAAAAGGCATTATACTTTTAAATTTTCTGATAAAATATTTGATTTAAGTTCTTATTATTTTTAAACTAATTAAAGCTCTTTCATATGAAAGCATCACATACATAATGCATATAAATACATAGACAGAAGATAAAGGATCATACCCCAGGCCAGAAATTGAACCCTGAACCCAGGCTGCCATTTTGAAAAGAGAAAGCATGGTCACATGGTTACAGAGAGAGAGAGAGATAGAGAGAGAAGCCAGAAATCTGAATGGCAAGAAGGTCTTTCCTTTTGCCTGCATACCAGGCCTCTGAGTTCCCTTTTCCTGAGCAGCCCTAGTGTGCCAGCTGGCTGCACACAGCCCTAGGGGCCAAGCCATTACACAAAAGAAAATTATCTTTTTCTGTTCTGGCCAGAGCAAAATACACGTAACAAAACATAGACATTAGCCACTCTTCTTAGCACCCACTATTAAACTTGAAAGGCTTAAACTTGCCCTTAGTTAGGCCCCCTCATGGTTAATACAACCTCTGACCAGAAGTTTCAACATGTGGTCTCCAGGCAAGATGGTCACCCTGAATAATAGAAAAGATAAGAAAGAGAAAGGAGAGAAAGAAAAGCATTGCCTGTGGCAGGGTGGGAAAGGTACAATGATCAAGGAGGCCAGAGAAAGACCCACCCATGGCAGCAATATTGAAAAGTTCAGGTGGCTGCTGTCAGTTGAGCAAGGATCTTTTCCAGCAGTCCTAACAGCTCTCAAGTTTCTCCTTTTAGGGAGGAAAATGCTCCCATGTCACACAAACCTGTACATGCCTAATCCTATTACCCACAGCCGTTAGCAAAGAGTGCAACGTACATTAATCCAGAGAGAATAGCAGTTAACATCCCACAGTGCCAAACCTGTTCTTAGCCAAGAGAGATTTTATTGAGAGGGGCCTCTAATCCCCTAAATCTTAAAAAGGACTCTAACCCTCCTAAATCAGGCCTCCAACCCAAGGTCACTCAAGCATCCTCGACTTTCATTAAGAGGGGCCTCTAACTCGCTCTGTCTTAGAAGAGACTCCAACTCCCCTAAGTTAGGCCTCTAACCCAATCCCATTCTTTATACAAGTACTCCACCACTTACCCAAAGTCATCCAACCACTGCTGCAGTCTATTTCCTTTGGGTTGGTTGGTGGGGGAGAGTTCTTAAGTATTGTCCCTTCAAGATTTTGCCAGAAAGATGTTACAGGACCCCAACACTTACCCAAAAGTAGCTTTTGGGTCAGGGTTTCTGCACTATAGTCCCTTCTGCAGCAACCACCATGAATATGTTACAGGACAGGGGTCTGAATCCAGACCCCAAAGAGAGTTCTTGGGTCTTGTGCAAGAAAGAATTCAGGGCTCAGGGCAAGTCTGCAGTGTAAAGTGAAAGCAAGTTTATTAAATAAAGAAATTGAAGAACAGCTACTTCATAGAGCATCCCCGAAGGCTGTTGTTTGCCCATTTTTATGGTTATGTTTTGATGATATGCTAAACAAAGGGTAGATTATTCATGCCTCCCCTTTTTAGACCGTATAGGGTAACTTCCTGATGTTGCCATGGCATTTGAAAACTGCCATGGTGCTGATGGGAGGGTGGCAGTAAGGACAACCAGACATCATTCTCGTTGCCATTTTGGTTTGGGGGAGTTTAGGCCAGATCCTTTACTGCAAATTGTTTTATCAGCAAGGTCTATATGACCTGTATTTTGTGCCGACCTCCTGTTTTATCCTGTGACTTAGAATGCCTTAACCATCTGGGAATGCAGCCCAGCAGGTTTCAGCCTCGTTTTACCCAGCTCCTATTCAAGATGGATTGGTTCTGTTTCACATGCCTCTGATATGGTCATAAATGTTTTAATTACAATGGGATTAGATTTAGTTACCAGGGTAACAACATAAAGGATTTGTAGAAAAAAGTATTCTGTGAAACAAGATTATGTAGGCATGTCTGACAGCTAGATCATCCACCAAATTACAAACATGTTTAAAATGAAATCATTCTTGTACACCTCATAGAAAATCAGTTAATTCATGTCCTTGTAGAGTAAACTGAATATTCAGGAATTAAAAACATCTGCGATACCAGACGTCAAGGAAAAGCATGCTCTACCCCATCTCCCATGAAAACAAGGGAAAAAGAAGGCCACTATGAGCTTAGATTTTCAGAAATGCCATGTTGAAATGAGGCTGTGCCTATTCTGCACTTTTCAACTAAAATAAACTAAGGAATCTGGTTGTCTATAAAACAGCTGCAGCAACCACATTAATCGTCTAAGAAAGGCTTGCTACTTATTTGTCTGCTCAGTTATAACACTTAATATTTAACTCTATGCAACCCGCTTCTTGGTCCTTATTCTATCTTGTCTTTTTTTTTTTTTTTGTATTTCTAGAACCAAACGTTATAAATTATAGAGTTTGAGATCAGCCTGGGCAACATAGTAAGACCCCATCTCTACAAAAAATAAATAAATTAACTGAATGTGGCCATAGCACAAACCTAGATTTCTAACTAAATGGAAGGCTGAGCTGGGAGGATTGCTTGAACCCAGGAGATTGAGGGTGCAGTGAGCCAGCATTGTGCCAGCCTGTGTGACAGAGCGAGACTCATTTTAAAAATAATAATGATAATGATCACTTTTCACAGATTTTGGTAAAGTTGATTTAGTAATCAATGTTATTTAAGTGATAGTAATAAAAAAATTCACAAGTGCTGATACTTCATCATAATTATATAAATACCAAATATATGCATATATATTTGCATATATAAATACAAACATATTCTAAATATACATTTAGACATATTTATATATTATACACATATAATGCACATATGTATTTTATATTATGTATGTACATAATATATAAATATGTTCATATGTAGGTGTATATAATATTCTAAATATGTATGTATATAACAAATATAAAGGTATCTCAGTGGCAAATATATTACTCCAAAGATGAAAAAAGCAGATACTTAGCTTGCTTAACTATTGGAGGTTTCTTAATCCATTTTCCCCCAGGACTTAGGTGATGATTGGCATTTAGTAGGCACTTAATAATTAATTGTTGAATGATAAAATAGGTGACAGACTAAATATGTTCTGCATTATGGTTTAAAAATTGTTTTCAGACTCTATGCTGAATTGAATTAACAGTCTCTATTGTTTTACTGCCATTTCCAGCTTTCCCCCAAATGCATGTAATCACTTTAACACCAATTCCTAAAGTAAACTTTTAATATCTTTATACCTCTCTGGTTCTTATGAAGAAAGTTTCTTTGAATATCTTTATACCTATTTGGTTCTTTGAAGAAAGAATTTCAGAGCAATTATGTGTAGCCACAAACTACAAAAGGCTAATGCCTGCTACTTGTGTGACTGCAATATATGAAAGACACACAAGAACCATTTTCTCTAGCTTCAGATTCTATGTGACTTTGCTCCAAAGGATGCAATTTTTTTAAGACTTTCTTACTCTTTAGAGATGTAGTGAAGGGGATTAAAAGGATGTGAGCTTTGTAATCAGACAGTCCTGCTGTTGAATTTGAGCAGTTTATTTCCTTTCTTTTCATCTCAGTTTCCTCATCTCTGTTGTTACCACTGCAAAACTGTCGCAAAACAGTGATAACAGAGATACAGAGAAGATTTAAATGGATAATTATCAAGTCTTTGAAATAATGTCCGGTGCTAGTAAGGGTTCAAATATGTTTAGAGCCCATATTATTAAATACTTATCTTGCTTAAATAAAATGGTACATAATAGCTATTATTGCATGAGTTATGTTCTTATTATTAGGCAGTAGAAGGAGGAAAAGACATTCTTAATTTAAAACAGAGAAATTGTTTCAATGTTTAAGCCGTAGTTAGTTCCGAATCCAGAACTTCAAAATCTTGAACTAAGGTAAAACTTTGGGATCTGCCTAACCCAATGATGCTTTTCTCTTCTTTCTCTGCAGTAGGTTTATCAGAGGCTAGAGAGGAATATGCTGGGGGAAAAAGTAAAGAGAATATCAAGGACCTACTTTCTCTGATCCTTTGTTATCTACTAAGTGTGCTCATGTTACTCTCCTTTTGTTCCCATTGTATATTTTAAAGCTGCTATAAGTAACATGACCTGGAAAGAGAGCACTAGCAAGGAATGAGGAGTGATATAGTGACTGGCGGCTCAGAGATAATGTCTACAAGTCACCTAAAACCATTGCAGATACAGGGAGATTGGCTGTTATGAATTTGGAGAATTTCTAGTTGTGAAGACTCTGATGATTACTAAAGAGTTAAATGAAATATTAGTTTTATATATATATATATGTATATATATATATATGTGTGTGTGTGTGTGTGTGTGTATGTGTAGCCCTATGAATTATAAACTGGCAAGATAAACTAGGATGCACCAGTAATCACTAGATGACAGACTATCAAGAAATCCAGTAATAACCATTCAAAAGAGTTTAAAGTACTGCGAGGCAAAATCCTGATGGCTTTAAAAGAATAAAGCCTACCGTACTAATTAATCGACTTTTATGACAGTGTTAGACCATTAGTGACAATGAGGAAACATTGGATTTGATCTGTTTGAACTTTGGTTAGACATGATTCTTTTTTTGTCAACATATTAAAACCATATGGTCTAGAATCCAGTATTATACATTAGAAAATTGAGTGGAAATCTTATCCAAATGGTTCACAGTAATATTGCTACTGAAATTTACTAAATGGGGCTATTTAGAGATCAGTCCAAGGGATTTTTAATATACTTATTTGTGACAAGGATGATACATTTTGCAAAAAACCGTAGGAGTGTCTACCCACTTATACGCCTCTGAGTCAGTGCTTAGAAACAGCAATTGCCAAACTGAGGTACACCTTCTTGACCCAAAACCATATGTCTGAAACAAATATGTAAAGGGGTGCCCAAACGCAGACTTCAGGTGGAAAAAATGAAAAAGTGGAGGAGAAGAAAGAACGACGCAGAGCGGTGAAAAACCTAAATAATATAAAATGTCCTAATTAACTATAAAGGGAATACAAAAGTTATGTATTTAGATAAATACAAGTTGAGTCTTTTAATGTTAATTATTTCTTGAGTTGATCACAAAAAATAATAAATGACAAAAACACTACACATGACAAATCATAAAAAAACAAAATTATCAACCTGAGGGTGAAAAAAAGAACCAAATATTATGAAGCAAATGGATATTCTTCTAAATAAAAACTGAGTCAAAAGGAAACTTAAAATGTATTGTATTAAGCCATTTTTGCATTACTATAAAGAAATACTTGGGCCTGGGTAGTTTATAAAGAAATGAGATTTAATTGGCTCACGGTTCTGTGGGCTTTACAGGAAGCATGGTGCTGGCATCTGCTCAGCTTCTAAGGGAGGCCTCATCAAGCTTACAATCATGGTGGAAGATGAAGGGGGAACAGTCACATCACATGTCGAAAGCAGGTGAAAGTGAGAAAGAGTGGAGTGAGGAGGTGCCACACACTTTTAAATGACCAGATCTCATGTGAATGTAAAGTGAGAACTGACTTATCACCAGTGGGATGGCCCAAGCTGTTCATGAGGGATCCATTCCCATTTCCAAACTCCTGCTGCCAGGCCTCACCTCCAGCATTGGAAATTAAATTTCAACATGAGATTTAGCTGGGGGCAAATATCCAAACTATACATACATTAAAACTATTTTCAAATCTATTGATATGAAAACGATATACAAAAATGGGCTATTGCTAAAGTAGAACTTTTTTATTATCAGAATAGAAAAAGAGAAAATAAGCACTGTGCTTAACATTTAAAAAATATTGGGGCTGGCTCACACTTGTAAACCCAGCACTTTGGGAGGCTAAGCAGGTGAGCAGATCGCTTGACCTCAGGAGTTCAAGACCAGCCTGGGCAAAGTAGCAAAACCCTGTCTCCACAGAAACTACAAAATTAGCTGGGTCTGGTGGCCTGTGTCTGTAGTCCCAGCTACTTGGGAGGTTGAGGTGGGATGATTGCTTGAGCCTGGGAGGCAGAGGTTGCAGTTTGCTGAGATAGCACCACTGCACTCCAGGCTGGGTGAGAGATGGAGACCCTGTCTCAAAAACAAAAACAAAAAAACACACATGCAAAACCATGCACACACACACACACACACACACACACACACACACACACACACCTGCTGGGAGGGGAGGTGGGGAGAGCAGTCTCCAGAAAAACAATCTTTTTTTTAGCTCAGCCAAGGCTACCTCAGCTATACTAGAATATGCAAATAAAAACGGATTCTGTTGTGCCACTAATAACCAATTGAGTAAAAATATTTTTTTCCAAAAAAAAAGATTGTATAGACATATGTAGCATAAACAGTAAGTTGTTCAGGAATAAAAATGTGCAAGAACTTTTTCTTCTTTGGTACATGTCCTTTTTTTAATTATAAAATATTAAAATGTAAAAAGAAATAGTGATTTTTTTCTACTCAGCCATAATTACAAATAACATTAGCTCCACATGGTTTGTTAAAAATAATTTAATTCAAACAGTGATTAGTCAAAATGACAAAGTCATAAAAACATATTCTCAGTAACAACTTTTACACACAATGCTCCATTCACCAATTTCTCAATCATTATGCATCTTTAACATTTTTTTTCTGGTTTTGGAATTTTTCAGATGGTTTTCCTGTTTTTCTTAAGTATTTTCAGTTAATTCTATAGGTCTAACCTATATGAACACTGAAATTTTAAATAACCTAAATACTAAGTAGGAAATAAGAAGTTTGTCTTATGCCCGGGCTCCATAAACTTACAAACCATGGCCGGGCGCGGTGGCTCACGCCTGTAATCCCGGCACTTTTGGAGGCCAAGGCAGGTGGATCACGAGGTCAAGAGATTGAGACCATCCTGGTCAACATGGTGAAACCCCGTCTCTACTAAAAATACAAAAAATTAGCTGGGCATGGTGGCGCGTGCCTGTAATCCCAGCTACTCAGGAGGCTGAGGCAGGAGAATTGCCTGAACCCAGGAGGCAGAGGTTGCGGTGAGCTGAGATCGCGCCATTGCACTCCAGCCTGGGTAACAAGAGTGAAACTCCGTCTCAAAAAAACAAAAACAAAAACAAAAAAACTTACAAGCCATTAAATTAAAATGTAGTCATAAAAAGTATCCACTGAAGTGAAAAACAAAATAAGGTGATCAAACTGTACATAATGTGTTTTCAAGTTAAAAAACTAAAATAAAACATATATATAAGCATGTATATATCTACATTTATGCCCAGAAAGGCAGTTAGGAAGGTAGAAGTCATTGTTCAACATAAATCATAATTTTTTATTATAAATTGACAAATTATTGTATATATTTATGAGGTACAAAGTGATATGATGTCATATATAGTGTGGTATGATTAAATTAAGCTAATTAACAAATCCATCACATCGAATACATATCATTTTTTGTGGTGAGAACATTTGCAATTTGCTCTCTTAGCAATTTTTAAAATCTTTTTTAATTTTTTATTTATATTTATTTATTTTATACTAAGTTCTGGGATACATGTGCAGAACTTGCAGGTTTGTTACGTAGGTATACATGTGCCATGGTGGTTTGCTGCTCCCATCAACTCATCATCTACATTAGGTATTTCTGCTAATGCTATCCCTCCCCTAGACCCCCACCCCATGACAGGCCCCAGTGTGTGATGTTTCCCTCCCTGGGTCCATGTATTCTCATTGTTCAGCTCCCACTTATTATTAACTATGGTCACCATGCTGTGCAATAATCTCAGAAAACATATTTCTCCTAACAGAAACTTTTAACCTTTTAACCCCCCCCCCCCATCCCCAGCCTTTGATAACCACCATTCTACTCTCTACTTTTATAAGGGTTAGATTTTTTTGTTTGCCTGTTAGCTTGGATTTTTTTTTTTTTTTTTTTTTTTTTTTTTTAGAAAAGGACGGAAGGAAGGAAGGAAGGAGGGAAAAAAGGAAGGGAAGGAGGGAGGGAGGTTTGCTCTGTCACCTAAGCTGGAGTACAATGGCACAATCTCAGCTCACTGAGGCTTCTACCTCTTGGGTTCATGCAATTCCCCTGCGTCAGCCTCCCGAGTGGCTGTGACTACAGAGTCATGCCACCATGCTTGGCTATATAAGTGTTTAATTGTTTTATACTCCACATTTAGTGAGTTCATGTGTTTTTCTGTTTCTGGCTTATTACACTTAGCACAGTATCCTCCAGGTTTATCCATGTTGTCTCAAATGACAGAATTTCCTCTTTTTAATGCTGAATACTATTTTATTGTGAATACATACCACATTTTCTTTATTATTTCATCCACTGATGGACACTTAGGTTGATCCCATAACCTGGCTGTTGCAAATAATGCTGCAATGAACATGGCAGCACAGACATCTCTTCAACATACTGATCTCACCTCTTGCATATACACTAAAAGTGGGACTGTTGGATCATATGGTAATTCTATTTTTAGTTTTTTGCAGAATCTCTATACAGTTTTCCATAATGGCTATATTAACTTATATTCTCATCAACAATGTACAAGGGTTTACTTTTCTCCAAATCCTCACCAAATTGTATCTTTTGTCTTTTTTGATAATAGTCATTCTGACAAGTGTGAGGTGATAGTATTTGTGGTATTACACTGCATTTCCCTAATGAGTAGTGATGTTGAGCATTTTTTCATCTGTCTGCTGGCCATTTGTATGTCTTCTTTTGAGAAATGTCTATCCAAGTCTTTTGCGCATTTTTCTTTCTGTTGTGCTTTTTTTTTTTTTTTTTTTTTTTTTTTTTTTTTTTTTTTTGAGACAGAGTCTCACTCTGTCACCCAAGCTGGAGTACAGTGGTGCCATCTTGGCTCACAGCAACCTCTACCACCCAGGTTCAACCAATTCTCCTACCTCAGCCTCCTGAGTAGCTGGGATTATAGGCACATACCACCACATGCAGCTAATTTTTGTGTTTTTAGTAGAGACGGGTTTTGCCATGCTGGCCACACTGATCTTGAACTCCTGACCCCAGGTGATCTGCCTGCTGATCTTGAACTCCTGACCTCAGGTGATCTGCCCACCTCGGCATCCCAAAGTGCTGGGATTACAGACATGAGCCACTGTGCCTGGCCCACCCATTTTCATTTTCTTCTTATTGAGTTTTCTGAGTTCCCCATACATTTTGGGTATTAATCCTTTATCAGATGTATGTCTTGTGTTTGGCCATTTGTACATCTTTTCTGAGAAGTATTTGTTCATGTCTTTTGCCCCATTTTTGATGGGGTCATTTGTTTTTT